TCTTCTTAAGAACCACTGGGCCAGGAAAGCTGAAACTTATATGGAAGCATCCTTGGGTAGTATAGATTCTAAAGTATAAAAATCATGAAAGGGGAGGGGGTAGGGGGCACGATAGGTATAGCAAGAGGGGAAATCTGGTAAAGAACTGCATCGCCAAAGTTTCTCAGGTGAGCGATGTGACCCATGGGCCTCTTGTTTAGATTTCTGAAAGAAATATTTATATATATAATCATTCACGTGACATACTTGTATACTCACCGTCAATGAAAACGCAACACTCAATTTTTAGGGTGAAAAGTCTATACGGGTTATAACTATGTACCAAAAAGGTTAGGACATCTTTTACTTTGCCAAATCAGTTATTTAACGGTTGAATGAATTTCTTTCCTCTACCGGAAGTTGCTTTATAGCCCTCTTCACAGAAATCAATTTTTTGCATTTTTAATAACATTTTTGGCTCACCTGAGCCAAAGGCTCAAGTGAGCTTTTCTGATCACAATTTGTCCGTTGTCTGTCGTCGTTGTCGTTGTCGTAGTCGTTGTCGTAAACTTTTCACATTTTCATCTTCTTCTCAAGAACCACTGGGCCAATTTCAACCAAACTGGCACAAAGTATCCTTGGGTGAAGGGGATTCAAGTTTGTTCAAATGAAGGGCCACGCCCTTATTCAAGGGGAGATAATTGGGAATTAATGAAAATTTGGTGGCATATTTTAAATATCTTCTTCTCAAGAACCAATGGGCCAGGAAAGGTGAAACTTATGGGGATACATCCTTAGGTAGTGTAGATTCAAGTTTGTTCAAATCATGACCCCCCGGGGTAGGGCGGGGCCAAAATGGCCGACCAAAGTTTTACATAGAAATATATAGGAAAATTCTTTAAAAATCTTCTTCTCAAGAATGACAAAGCCATAATTTATCATATTTATATGGAAGCATGCTCAGGTAGTGTAGATTCAAGTTTGTTCAAATCATGACCCCATGGCGTAGGGCGGGGCCAAAATGGCCGACCAAAGTTATACATAGAAATATATAGAAAAATTCTTTTAAAATCTTCTTCTCAAGAATGACAAAACCATAATTCATCATATTTATATGGAAGCATGTTCAGGTAATGAAGATTCAAGTTTGTTCAAATCATGACCCCCGGGGGTAGGGCGGGGCCAAAATGGCTGACCAAAGTTTTACATACAAATATATAGGAAAATTCTTTAAAAATCTTCTTCTCAAGAATGACAAAGCCATAATTTATCATATTTATATGGAAGCATGCTCAGGTAGTGTAGATTCAAGTTTGTTCAAATCATGACCCCAAGGCGTAGGGCGGGGCCAAAATGGCCGACCAAAGTTATACATAGAAATATATAGGAAAATTCTTTAAAAATCTTCTTCTCAAGAATTACAAAGCCATAATTCATCATATTTATATGGAAGCATGCTCAGGTAGTGTAGATTCAAGTTTGTTCAAATCATAACCCCATGGCGTAGGGCGGGGCCAAAATGGCCGACCAAAGTTATACATAGAAATATATAGGAAAATTCTTTAAAAATCTTCTCAAGAATGACAAAGCCATAATTCATCATATTTATATGGAAGCATGTTCAGGTAATGAAGATTCAAGTTTGTTCAAATCATGACCCCCGGGGGTAGGGCGGGGCCAAAATGGCTGACCAAAGTTTTACATACAAATATATAGGAAAATTCTTTAAAAATCTTCTTCTCAAGAATGACAAAGCCATAATTTATCATATTTATATGGAAGCATGCTCAGGTAGTGTAGATTCAAGTTTGTTCAAATCATGACCCCAAGGCGTAGGGCGGGGCCAAAATGGCCGACCAAAGTTATACATAGAAATATATAGGAAAATTCTTTAAAAATCTTCTTCTCAAGAATTACAAAGCCATAATTCATCATATTTATATGGAAGCATGCTCAGGTAGTGTAGATTCAAGTTTGTTCAAATCATAACCCCATGGCGTAGGGCGGGGCCAAAATGGCCGACCAAAGTTATACATAGAAATATATAGGAAAATTCTTTAAAAATCTTCTCAAGAATGACAAAGCCATAATTCATCATATTTATATGGAAGCATGTTCAGGTAATGAAGATTCAAGTTTGTTCAAATCATGACCCCCGGGGGTAGGGCGGGGCCAAAATGGCTGACCAAAGTTTTACATAGAAATATATAGGAAAATTCTTTAAAAATCTTCTTCTCAAGAATGACAAAGCCATAATTTATCATATTTATATGGAAGCATGTTCAGGTAGTGTAGATTCAAGTTTGTTCAAATCATGACCCCCATGGGTAGGGCGGGGCCAAAATGGCCGACCAAAGTTTTTAAAGATATACCCCGGTATATAGGAAAATTCTTTTAAAATCATTTTCTAAAAAATAGCAAATTCATGATTGGTCATGGGACTTCTTTTGGATTTAAACTTTACAATAAAAAGCCATTTTGATGATTTTCTACTTTTTCCTACCCTTAGTGCTCAGGTGAGCGATGTGGCCCATGGGCCTCTTGTTAACAATATTTTGGGTTTTCAAGGTTTTGTAGCTGTTTATCATAAGTAATGTACTAAAATCCCAGGAAAAAATCCTTTCTTTACCGGATGTGATGCCTATATTTCCTCAAAATGACTGATTTTCATTGCTAATGCTGGATATTCTCAAAATAAAGAAAAAAAGAGCTGCAGATGCAAATGTACACTATGTAACCACTCATCAGGCTCATGTTTTTCAATAGCATAAATAACAGTTTCTTGACTGGAAGTCCAAGAGTTACTACTCTACGCGAAGTTAGAGAAAATTCGACCGCAGTATCTGAAGAGCAGGCAATTAGAAATGCCCAAACATATTTATTTCGCTCAGATAAAGACATTGATAAACCTAATTAATGCATGGTAGAAATCGGACTGCGTACATTTATGTTGTACATGGCGGACTAGCATGTTTTGATTAAATTGTCGGAAGGGGGTAGTGTTTTATTTAAATGAAATCTGTTCAGAGGGCTAAAAAATCAACTTTTGGTAATGGAATGAAAACCATTCAACCATTAAATAACTGATTTGGCAAAGTAAATGATGTCCTTACTTGTTTGGTACATAGTTATATCCAGTATATAATATTTCACCCTAAAAGTAGAGTGTTGCGTTTTCATTGACGGGGAGTATACATAATTTTAGCAGGTAGTATATAGGTCCTCGGTTTTAGACAGCAGGAGAAGGTGTGCAATTAACCCCTCAATATTATCAGAAAGTGTTTTATGTACATACAAACGTCAAAGCGTTGTACGGTATTCAAAGCAACTATTAATCATCTAAAACAACACCAATATTAAATGTGAGCTTGGAGCAATGTCTTTAGAATATAGTCTTTCAATTTCGGTCTTATAAAGTGATAAAGAAGCTCTGCAGTTTTTCCAGTGACGAGTAAGTATTGTGCAGTAAACCGACGAAAACCACGTGTCACCATTGAATCGTAAACACGTAGTAGCTCTACTGTCGTGCTTTGGGACTGATTCACTTGATTGGAGAACGGAGGTCTGTTCAACAGAGCGAACGTTCGCGAGCGCTCGCCAAAATTCAGGCCTCGGGTGCTTTCAACAGTTCAATGTATTTGATCCTACTAACTTAGAACAGAACCTCAGCCAATCAAATGAATGGATTGAAAATAAACTCCTCCCACGGCTGTGTCGTATATAATGCTCAACTTGACTGCTCGTTGTACATATCGAGCACGCAATCAATATCGAGCACACGCGGTTTCAGAATTCAGGTGAGCATGGGATTATATAAAATAGCTGGTAGGAAAACAATAATCTTAATATCTACATTTAAAAAAAAATAATTGTGTTAAGAAGACAAGGCCCTAATCAGCAGGAGTGGACATCGCCGTCTAGTGTTAAATAAAAATATAATGAAAATCGTGACTTAAACCTGTCTTCAAAGACAAGGTTGGTCTCTGACATACATGACGATGGTTGTATTTTCTGTATGTACCGAAATGTGAAAAAATATATTCAGAAAGGCAAAACAAAAAAGACTACAGTAAAAATACAAAAGTGTAGCAAGACCAAGAAGTTCAAATATCATTGTAAACAGCAAGTGGGTTTTGAATAGTTTCTTTAAGTGTGCTGAACAAAAACCAATATATAGACACGCCTATATAATTGTCCAGTGAACCAATCGTACAGCGTTAAATATACCCACAATCAATAGAATCACAACACCCTAATTTTAGGGTGAAAAATATATACAGTATATAACTTATGTACCAAAAAAGTTATAAGATCTTTTACTTTGCTAAATCAGTTATTTAACGGTTGAATGATTTTCATTCCATTACCGGAAGTTGCTTTTAAGCCCTCTTAACAGAAATCAAAACTTTGCAATATTAATAATTTTTTAAACAATATTTTGGGTTTTCAAGGTTATGTAGCTGTTAATCATAAGTATTGTACTAAAATCCCGTATGAAATTCTGGCTTAAGATACATGTAGGTTGAAGTCTGGCAGGTGAAGGCAATGTAATACTTATACAAGATCACTTGAAAATATAATGTACGATACATATATGGTCGCTGAATTATCTTTTCGTTTGTTACACTAAGAATAAATGTAGTTTCAAAGATTTTAAAAATATTATTAGACAAGATAGAGGCTTGCTGGTAAATAAACACAAACCCTAGTTAAAAGCGAACTTTATTCAAAACAGGCCAGTTCCCACAAATATAAACTAACCATTCGCCTTATTTAATTTTCCTCATATTTTCAAGTACTCCTTTCAATGATTTTCATCCTTGATAATTTTGTTCCACATGTCAGTCAATTATTATGATAATTTCAAAGATAAATTTACTTCACTATATTTTACTTTTACTGATTTACATCTTTTTTTGCACAATGGATTAAAATAGATTTCTCAACAAAGAATATATACTTCACAATTTTTGTATTTTTTCTACAGTATCATTCACACTTGGTCATGCGAGAAAACTATTATGGACCCCCGTTACAGTGCCCAAGACATCCTCCTCTGTGACCTGTGTCAAAAAGCAGCATTACAGAGTCGGTGTGAATTTTGTCAAATTAATCTGTGTACGACCTGTGTAGGGATCCATCTTATTTCTGATTCATCTCAGAGACACAAGGTCGTACTCTACAAGCACAGAAAATCTGCTTCTTTTAGCTATCCGAAATGTCCAAGCCATACCCAGGAACTCTGTGAACTTTACTGTGAGAAATGTGACATTCCTGTCTGTTCTATCTGCATCTCCTCTGACGATCATCAGATGCATAAATTTACAGATATTTTGAAAAAATTGAGTTCTAAAACAAAGGATTTAGCAAAAGACCTCGAAGAACTAGAAAAAAAAATCTATCCTGCATACGAAGAAATAACATTAGATTTAAAGTCTGAAAGAGTTAACTCTGAGAAACATTATGAGAATCTGAAAACAGCTGTCACAAAACAAGGAGAAGACTGGCATAGTGAAATCAACATCATTGTCAAAAAACAAAAATCTGAAATTGATGAGATGAAAAATAAACACCTGACTGCTCTAAATAAACAGGGAAAAGAAATTAAACAGATTACATCTGAAGTAAAACAGAGTATTCTTGATCTAAAGAAAATATTGGACTCCAATGATGTCTCCGTAACCTCTGTATATAAATCCAGGAATGCTGAATTCAGAAGATTACCTCCTAAAGTCAATGTTTCATTACCAAGTTTCTCTCCTCATCAGATCAACACAGAGCAATTCCATCAAATGTTTGGTTCTATAACAACAGAAGAACGGGATGGACTGAGCAAAAACTATATACCCCCGAATCTTCAATTATGGAATATAGAAAAAGTGTATGTTATGCCAAAATCATATATTTGCAATTTGAGATATTGAGACTTCCTCTTTTAAATTTTCCTGAACGTCTCTTTTGTATAAGACTTCATAGGGGTGTCCAAATTTTGAGCTGCTAATGTTTTATTTTGATATTTTACATTTAAAAAATTATGTTAAGATCAAAGGTCAAGGTAATTTAAAATATGAAAATTGAGATCTTTTTCTATCTCTTTCGATATATGCTACATGTATATATCTTTGCATTTTTAATATGTCAATTCAAAGCTATTTCAAATATTTTGATTTTGTCCATTAAGTGTGATTACTTTCATGCACCTTTCACTAAAAACATTGTTATCGCTTAAACACCAAACATTCACTAATGTCTTCAGGGTCTTTAGACACAACAACCGTTAAACAGTGCAAAAGAATCTGATGACACCTTATATGAGTTATGATGACACCTTATATGAGTTATTGCCCTTTTATGTGCTTGCGCTTACTAAAAAATCCTATAACTTCAAAACTAAGTCTTAAAATCATGGCTCCAATTGCTATATATGTGACCCGTGTCCCTTGACCTTAAAAAAATATTGAGGTCAAAGGTCTTGGTCATTTACATTTTTTTAAATTTGATTTTTTTACATGCAATCTCTGATTTCTTTTAAATGGAGACTTGAAATATAAATATAATTGAAATTCAAAGATGATGGAATGACCTTCAATTGTTCTGAACAATGAAACTACAAGTTATCTGTATATTTTATATGACAGACCTATTTATTTATATAAGACATTTGAGAATCATAAAGATTTTGATTGAGATGGGGTTTACTAGATTTACCGTCGTAGAATATATTTTGGATTAACTACATTTAATGAATTACATTTTTAGGGATGGAAATAAAGTTCTGTCTATAGATACAGAAATTCCTGAACCTATCATAGATTGTGATAGTAAGAACCAGACGGACACAATAGCAGATGTTTTCACATAAGACCTAATCACTGGTTCAGAAGAGTAGTACACTAAATTGAATAAAAGAAAATCTCTTTATGCATCTTAGACTGATTGGACCGGAGAACATTTAAAGTGTTGTAAATTTATATTGTATCATCACGATTAAAGATTTAAATACACTTTAAGGTTAAAGCTTGTAGCTAGTTGTGATTACTGCTTTGATTTTTCTTTGTTTACCCAGGGTCAAAGATCCTTTGTGGCAGTATGAACAGAAAATACAGTCATCCGCGAAATGGATGGATGAGAAAACGGTCACTAAATGCCTGGGCTGTAAACAAGAGTTCACGTTCATGGTTAGAAAGGTGCATGTTCTGTTTATTTCAAACTTATGTTTGAGCTGATTTTTTTATGAGCTTTTTAAATGTCAAAACTATTTATGTACGGTAATCTTTGTTTCTTGAGAGATTAGAGTTTTTATCATGAAATTACAAAGATTTTTTATGATTTAGAAAATACCTTTAAAATAAAGACTGGTTCTTAAAAGACTATTTCAATTTTATTCCATGGTTATTCTGTACTTTTATGTTCATATACCTTTGCTTGAAACTTATGTACTTTTGGTTTTATCAGAGATTTGTCCCTTGTTTGCGCACTCTAACTGGTTTAGAATGCAATAGTTGATTGTTTTACTGCTTTTGTCTATTATGCAAAAAATAAGATTTTTTATTGTATTTTAAAAGAAAATATAGGCAGTTTATATTTCATTTACTATATATACATGTACAGATGACAGTTAAAAAACTTAATTGTAAAGCATCTAAAGATTTTTAAATGAAAGTGCTAATGCTTAACTTTGTTGTCTTCGTGTTTTCTATTTACCGTAATTATTTTTACTATATAACTATACTGACCACTGTGAACTCATAGCCTTCTCATACATTTAAATATATATATATATATATATATATATATATATATATATATATATATATATATATATATATATATATATACATATATATATACACACACTTTATTTACAAAATTATTCATGCATGTTCCTATCCTATATAAAATTCACTAAAACCCATATTTTCAGGGAAAGAAATTGAGACATTAACACAACCTATTTTTCTTTTACCTTGAATTGTATGTTTTTTTTATTTTCAGCACCACTGTAGATTGTGTGGGGGAGTCTTCTGTAATAACTGTAGTAACAATTATGTGGAATCCACCTATAGCAGGTTAGTGTGTATACATTTGTGTATATGGTACTTATATGTAAATGGAATCGGTGCACAACATCTTCGCAAATTGACATTACCTGTTTGCAAATCTGGGTTGCTATGCCTCAAATTTGCAACTAGGATCATTTGATAAAAGTTTAAAAATATACTTGATTTAGATATTAAAGTATATGTTATGTATTTAAGGAATGAATTTAATAGCTTCCCAAATTAAACTGTATAACCTGGACTTAGTCAGTTGATGCTTTATAAACTGCAAAGCAGTAATTAAAAAAAATGATGATGAAAACATTTTCTTATTCTTCTAGCTGTTGTCATCGTTATAACTCTCGGTCAAGTAAGATTAATATAAGCCTTTTAGACTAATTTTTCTAAATGTAAGTGCAAATGTGGTATTTTTACCAATTTTCTTGCAATTATGAGTTACAATATGGGTTTTGCAAAAACTTTAGTAAAAATACTATAGTACTACAGTTAGGATTGAGATCTGAAAGTTAACCAGAATTAAGGCTCACATTAATCCTGCTCAAGTGAGAGTTATTTAGATGACAACAATAAGATAAGATTCACCTTGCAAGAAAATGTTTCCATTTGAATGTAACATAGATAAACTGCATAAAATATAATCCTTGACTGTGATTATAGAAACATGAGAAGAGTTCCAACTTTAAAATGACCCACTATAAATTTTCAAGAATTGAATAAACTCACACATTTTATGATTTTGTTTTGCTGACATATTCTTCATTTCTGTACATACGTGCACTAGTTATTAAATTGTCTTGTTGTCCAGAGTCTGTTAAAGAAATAGCTGTTATCCAATCACAAATAACATTCTGAGATCCAGGGTCATGTAGATGTATAAATTTGTTAATTCACAAAACTTTGAAGCATTGAAATTATATGTAATTGATTGGTATAGAGTGTGGATTGTATATTTTACGTAGAATTCAATTACTTTATAAACTTTTATTTTTTAATTTATTTTTTATTAGCTTAAGGATAAATAACACAAACAAACTTTTTTCAGAAATCAGCATTATTTCTCATAGATTTACATTTAAATTGACAACCTGAATAATGTTTACCAAGTAGAGTGGGAGAATTTTAAAAGATTTTGTCATAAAGTTAAAAAATTGTGCAAAATTTTGTATGGAATTATATAGAGGGCAAAATAAAATCTCAAATCTAAGCACCAAGGAAAACCTACGATTTCTTTATATTTCAGGGATTTATTATTTATGTCATTACAAATCAAATCAGTCAAAAAATATATATCAACCCGTGCATCTATTTTTTGTTTGTGGTAAGTACCTTTAAAGCATGATACTAGGTAAAAAAAAATCATATGATACTTTCTTTTTTGCATTGCTTTTCAAATCGTTTAAATTCTTTTATTTGTTCTTCGTTCCTACATTTGCTAATATATTTGATGTGTCATCTACAGCATACTAAAGAGATACTACATTTCACAAGCATAAATTTTTTGCTTCACTAAATTAATGAAGAGTTTTACTTTCATCGCAAATGATAGCATGTATATGTAGATTTAATATAAAATTATGACTATATAATGCATGAAATCAAAAGTGACACTAGCAATAGACTCAATTTTTGAAAGTTGTTTTATGTTTTAGAGTTTCAAGCAGTTTATTCAAATGCAGATTTATACAAAGAAATCTTTTTGGCTGTAGGAAAAAACTTCCACGGATCAATCTTTAGTTTATTAATGAAATAGAATGCTTGTTAATTAACCAACATCAGATACACGTTATAAAAAAAGCAGGATATGGTTTTGCGATTGCAGTTGATATGAGCAATATTGCTGTAAACATCGTGAACTAGGATTGTGTAAATGGTAATATTGTCTTTGATGTGTCATCTACAGCATACTAAAGAGATACTACATTTCACAAGCATAAATTTTTTGCTTCACTAAATTAATGAAGAGTTTTACTTTCATCGCAAATGATAGCATGTATATGTAGATTTAATATAAAATTATGACTATATAATGCATGAAATCAAAAGTGACACTAGCAATAGACTCAATTTTTGAAAGTTGTTTTATGTTTTAGAGTTTCAAGCAGTTTATTCTAATGCAGATTTATACAAAGAAATCTTTTTGGCTGTAGGAAAAAACTTCCACGGATCAATCTTTAGTTTATTAATGAAATAGAATGCTTGTTAATTAACCAACATCAGATACACATTATAAAAAAAGCAGGATATGGTTTTGCGATTGCAGTTGATATGAGCAATATTGCTGTAAACATCGTGAACTAGGATTGTGTAAATGGTAATATTGTCTTTCAGCAGGAAGTCGCGAGCCTGTAACCTGTGTTACCAGAAGTACACCAAGTCTGATGCTCTGAGTTCCTCGATGATCAGCCGACAACAGGATGATGAGGGACTGGAGGACTCTAGTGAGCTGTTGTGAGTTCTGCTTAATGCTTAAATAATGAGTAATCATTGAATGACTAGATGCTTAATATACATGTATTTTTAACTTATTGCCTGCATGCTACTGATTTCAATATCATGTATTAGTTCCTTATTTCTTTTTTGAATGTATATATTTTGTCATGACTATTGAAGCATATCACACGTACATGTATATTTGCTGAATTTGAAGGGATGGAAATGAAGTTTTGTCTAAGGATGAGATTTTCCACCTGGTGAGTGATGAGAAAGTGGCAAGATCTCAGAGCTTCTCCTCCTCGGAGTTCCAGTACCAGGACCCAGATCCCAAGTACTCTCTTACTCAGTGTAGAAACTTCATTTCAATGGTCCATATTTATGTCTTCTATTGTACTGGATTTATGAATATGAATCTTTGTTTTGATTCACAGTGACTGCTTAAAACTTTAATTTTCCCGCATGACATCTAATCATACACATAAAATTACCCAGTATAAACACCTTTAATTTAATTGCAGTATAGTTTGTTGATTGTCTCAAAAAATCTGCTCACAATTTATTTTATCAAAAAATTGAATGCTTGTATCAATTATTCTGTATGGTAAATAAAATTAATAACACTGGTGCCATGTATAGTACTTACCTGATCTTATGCTTTTTTGTGACGAAGTCTTCTTTCATAAATAAGAAATTCATTATTGTGAGACGAGGAGCATTTCTGCAATTCCATAATTTTTAAATAATAATATATATTTTTTTCAATTGTTGTAGTGTCACAACTGGCATAACCATAAAGGCAGAAAAGCTAGAGAAAGGGGAAGTGAACAACTCCAGTGAATTCTGGGTAAAGGCTTGTAAAAGTCACGCCATACCTGTAGTGATTGACAAGCAGAATACTGTACTATGCTGGGAATTTAGATGCCATCCCAAGGTTGGGACAAATAAGTAAAAAAAAACATGATATCTATTAGAAAGAAGCAACAATGCAGAAAAAAAAATGATAATATATTGAAATGAGAAATGAGTTTATATTGAAATCTTTATACAAGTACTTGCAACTCAATTTGCTTCCAACATCTATTTTTTTTAAAATCAGTTTACATCTGCATTTGTAAAACTTCTTTGTTATAATTTTCTCTTCTTATGAATTATTGCAAAAAAAGGTAAAATTATTTTATCATGTCTTCAAAAATTAAAATGATGAGACTGAATAAAATCGATAAGACTTTTTATGTTTTACTTATCTACATTGGGAAAACTGATTATACTTTCTGATGCTATGCTCTACAATGACATTTTGAAATAATAGACAAGAATTTTGATATGTTTTTAGCTCTTCTGAGCCAAAGGCTCAAAGAGCTAATGCTATGGCCATTTGTGCGGTGTGCGGTGTGCGTTAACTTTTTAGAATTTGGGCCATAACTCAAGAACCCTTTGGCCAATCAGTACCAAATTTGCCACAGGGTATCCTTGGCCCAGGGGCTACCATTTATACTAAAATAAGGGTTGGGACCCTAAAACAAGGGGAGATAATCAGGAAAACCAAACCAAAAGTACTAGTTGCTAAAAAATCTTCTTCTCCAGAACCGCCAGGCAGATTTTCACCAAACTTACATACAAAGATCAGGATATGTTGAAGATTAAAAATTTTTCAAGGCATGACCCTGGGGCAAAGGGCGTAGTCTCAAGGTCACTTTAAAGTTGACCTAAATTTACAATTAATAAAAATGTTTATATTTTGCTTACTAAATGGACTAGGATCATCTTGTAAGTTGATGCATCTTAAGACTTCACATCATGTTAACTCAAAAGTAGGTCACGGTGACCTACTTTTTTAATTTTACGGGCATTTGTTTTCAAATTGATTTAAAGGCATATTTTGGACACTTTAAGGCCTATGATCATGAAACTTAGTCAGTTGATGCATCTTGGGTCCTTAAACAACGTCAACTTAACAGTAGGTCACCATGATCTACTTTTTGAACTTTATGACTTATCCTTTTTAAAACATTTAATCCCATTATTTCAGGCACTGAAAGGGTTAGAATCATCAAATCTTGTAAGTTGCTGCATCTTGGGACCTTAAAACATATTTAAGAAAAAGTAGGTCACTGTGACCTACTTTTAGAATTTTGCAGGCATATGTTTTCAAATTGTTTAAAAGGCATATTTTGATTACCTTCAGACATAAAATCATCAAACTTGGTCAGGAGATGCATCTTGGGACTCTGAAAAATGTCGACCAAAATGTAGGTCATGGTCACTTACTTTCAACATTTTATGGCTATATTTAAGTATCTTAGGTATTTATTGGCTTAGAATCATCAAACTTTGTGAGTTGATGCATCTTGGGTTTTCGGAGAGTGACGACCAAAAATTAGGTCACGGTGACCTACTTTCGACATTTTACGGCTATATTTAAGTATCTCCGGTACTTATTGGCTTAGAATCATCAAACTTTGTCAGTTGATGCATCTTGGGTTTTCGGAGAATGTCGACCAAAAAGTAGGTCACGGTGACCTACTTTTAACATTTTATGGCTATATTTATGTATCTTAGGTATTTATTGGCTTAGAATCATCAAGCTTTGTGAGTTGATGCATCTTTGGTTTTTGGAGAGTGGCGACCAAAAATTAGGTCACTGTAACCTACTTTCGACATTTTATGGCTATATTTCAGTATCTCCGGTACTTATTGGCTTAGAATCATCAAACTTTGTCAGTTGATGCATCTTGAGTTTTCGGAGAATGTCGACCAAAAAGTAGGTCACAGTGACCTATTTTCGACATTTTATGGCTATATTTAAGTATCTTAGGTATTTATTGGCTTAGAATAATCAAACTGTGACAGTTGATGCATTTTGGGTTTTCCAAGAATGTAGACCAAGAAGTAGTCCTAATTGGCTAAGAATCACCAAACTTTGTCAGGTGATGCAACTTTGGTCTTAGGATACTTAGGGTTAGAGGCTTCAAATACAAGTGATAGGTTGTACAATTTATCAGAAGAGCGATTCAAGGCCCTTGGGCCTCTTGTTAACTTTCATAATAAACTTTATCACATGGGTCATATCTATACGTGAAGTTATAATTCACACTTCATTAATGTCGCCACGCCTTTAAATGCTTATAAGTGTGTTACTTAATTTGACTGTTTTGATTACAGGATGTGATATTTAGTGTAACCTACATGGAGTTTGATAGACCGGACCCTGCCGTCACTCATTGCCTGGTACCAGCTTGTAAGTGTGACTCACACGAACAGGCCGTCCGTGGAGAACTGACAGCCAAACAGACGGGGATCTACGTACTGCTCTTTGATAATACATACTCAAGGTAAGCCATTAAATTAGGAGAAAGTCTTTGATCAACTTTTAGATGGAATAGAAATTTTAAAGCAAATACATTTATTGTTTGATGCCATTAATTAAGGAGGTATGCTTTATTTTCAGGATAACCGCCAAAAGAATATGTTACTCTTTGTGGACAAGGTATCTTGGAGATTGAAGCTATCCATTTAGCTTTGTTTGAATTATTTACCTTAGTATTTATACACCAAGAGTTCTTAATGCAATAAAAACAGTTTTTTATTATCTTATTTATACAAATACCCATTTCTGATAAAACGTATTTGATTAAAGAATACATTGTATTTAATAGGAATTTTAAAGTGTTTTAGTTTAATTTTCAAATACAAGAATGTATACCTTATACATTTTAAATAGAAGATATTTATTTGTTCATACATTTGTATTTTATATTTTTAAATTTAATGGGATTTAAATAAACTAAAAAATTGGACTTCATCTTTATAATTTTCTTTTCAAAATAAATTTTATTAAATAGAATTTTGTAGAATTATGTAGAATTTAGATTTTGTCCTGAACTCTGTAGTTATATTGATTTCTGTAGAGTGAAATCTTTTTAAGTTTATTTTGCTTTACCATTTTATAGCAATTTTGAAAATTGCCAAGAACACAGGGATACAATTTATGAAAAAAACAATGTTGCCAATTATTGCAAGCCCAAGCTAACGCTTAAGCAAAATTCATTATGAAGGCGTGTATGTTAAAGGTAAAAGTCTTTATGGCTAGCATCTGAACTGAGGTAGTATGAATTTAAAAAAAATATATGCATGGTGTTGTAGTGAACATGCATGTATTGCCTTCTTCTACATATTGTCGTCGACAACAATTGGAACTATCTGCACAACATTGTTTTCAGAGGCAAAATTATACATACGTGTACATACACACTGCGGTATTTGCATATTTTTTCTCCCCACTCTTATAAGCAAGTAAATTGGTTAAAGAATATGATGTTGATATCGAGAATTATTCGATTTTCGTGCCATTACATGATCACTAAGAAGTAATGCTTTTTGTATAAATGATTGTTGTTTTTAACTCTAATAAACAGCTACAAAAAGAGCTATACTTAATACCATATAAGTTTACTTGTAGAGGGATAGGTTAAATATAAATTTACCAAAGGACTTGGTGACAATGTGTGATATAAACATTTGCACACATGTTTATTGTTTAATGTTTTTCAGCGGTTGGGGAGAGAGGAGACATGCAGAAAATGTTACATTTTGTTGCATTCCTCCATTGATTCGATATATCTATTTGAACTTGAAATAAAAGATACCACAGTCTGGCACAACTGATTAATAATTTTGAATTAATATTTTACTAGAAAAAGACGTAAATGGAAACCCAACAACAAAACTTTATGGTAAACGTGATGGTGTTTATCTCTTCTATCGTCATGTTCCCTTATTTATTTAGCAAAATATTATTATCACCTGCACAAGAGTTTATCTTTAGCTTTGATTCGTTGCTCTGCATACGAACACTTTCCAAAATGGTGCAAACTATTGAACAATAAGTGGAAGATACAAGTAAATTGAAAAATCTCATTGAAAAAAACATTTTACAAATGCTATGGTCGAAACAATGGCCTTTTCAGCAAATACAATTTATTATTCAATCAAATAAAAACGGGCATTTTTATACAAATTGTCGACCTCTTTTTTTTCATTATATATTTTACATAATAATAGCGTTTGCCCGATCTTGACAAGGCCAAGAGCATGCGGCAGGTGGAACATAGCGACTGGGACGCCTACTATCCACGGCCCCTTATATCACTTCTTATGTTTTAGAGGTCAATGTTTAATTTCCTTTGCTCCCAGTTTATATCGATTTAGTTTGAGCTTGATTATTTTTGTTATTTTCATTTTTCAGGAAACATAAAACGATTCTGATCGACTTCTCAGTTATACGTATGGTGATTTCTTTGGCTTTTTTTTTCACCCGCGATCTACTCACGTCCATGCTATTTATCAATTGAAATTATGGAGTTACTCATTTACAATAAATATTTCACCTATGAATATAACTGCATAAAAAGAAGATGGGCGAACAAGGCGGGCAGAATGCCTATAGCGTCAGATATTAAGAAATCAAATTTAGTATGTAAATTGAGTATTTAAATCAACCTCTAATTATTGAAATTTTTGAAATTATGGAAAAAAAAAACTTTTCTGAGAGAGAAAAAAATCTCGTAAAAAAATTTTCTTTCATAAAATTATTAGATGGTATTCGTGGGATTCGAACCCTAGCAATAAAAATCCGACGTATCAATAGCATACTGCTTTGAGACTAACGCGTTAACCACTATGCTACACCATTCATAATGATTTGAGGCATTTAAATCATGTTTGTGATATGACCCGCGACTTTATGGACTTGAAATATTTCTCGGAAAGATGCTTATGTTGTGTCATAAAAGTGTACTTTTAAGGTATAGTGGGTCTTCGCTCCATGTTTTTGAAAACCAAAAAATGTGTATTTTATTGCACACGTTTAGGATCCTCTTTCAAAAAAATGGAGATAAGACCCACCCATATTGAAAAAATGTGTTAAAGTATAAGAAAATGATCGTTTTTGTTCTTTTTAGAGTGTGTAAGCTTTTTCAAAGGCAAATATTTTTAGTCTTTGTGAGATTTTTGTAAATTGTAGAGATTTTACATAAAGTATACTTTAATATAAGATGAAATATCAAGTAAAATTTGGATTTAATTGAGATTAAAATTTTGACTTCTTATCTGTCGAACTATAGGCATTCTGCCCGCCTTGTTCGCCCATCTTCTTAATGTTTTATTTGTTGGGTATACCAGGGATATCAACGATAATTGGAAAGGAGGGATAATTTAACATTTTCCACTGTTACATGGTTACTATAAAAAAAAATTTCTAGCTAAATATTCAAATATGGGACATGTGTCATACTCTGTGGTATCTTTTACTTCGAGTTTCAAAGGGATTTAATCAGTGTAGGAATTAAAAAAAACCCATTGTAATTGATAATAAGTTATCACTTTACCTACAAGGTTAATTGAAATCTACAAGCAGTTTCTCCTTTTCTCGTAGAAGTTTCTGAATAAATTCTGCTTCATACAAAATCAAACACAACAGGACGCAAATAGTACCCATAGGTATCCCGACAGTTTGTGCGAAGACTTGTCTCCAAAAACTACATATATATATAGATATTGTCATTCACAAACCTATTTATAGGCATTTTTAAATATCAACTTAGGAGTCGTTTTGTGTGCAATCAGAAAAGTTTTTTAAACAAAATAGTTAAGCAAATGGCCAATAGTAAGGTAAGCCTCATGTTCCATTTTTACTGGGGAAAAAAAGGCCGTCAATGATGTCAAAAAGCATTGGCTTAAATTATGAGGGCTGTTCAATAAATAATGTCCTGTACACTAGAGTGAAATTAAACTCTTCATATTAAAGCTGCTGTAAAACTCGTTACGAATCCCAAAGAAATATTCACTGAAATATGTAAAATTTACGGCAACAAATGTCTGTTTTATAGGCAAATGAGCAGGTGGATTTCAATGAAAAAAATTATATAATGGGCATCAAAAATGGGTACTGTCCTTGCCAACAAAATATTATAACAACAAATAAACTGATTGCCAAATTTCAACAAATAATCACTTATTATGTATGATTGAATTTAAGACATTGCAAATTTGATCATTTTGGGAATAGTTTACACTGTTTTAAAGATTAAAAATTATAACAACTCATGTACTTTTTGCCAATTTTCGACAAATAATCACTGATGATGTATGATAGACATTAAGACACATAGCACACATGATGGACATCAATTCGGGAGTAGTTCACACTATTTTAAAGAAACGTTTGACAGTAAAAAAGCTTAGTATTCAAAGGTCACCCTATATTTTGAAAAATGAGTGAAAACGACAGCGTGTAAGAATATCTAAACAATTATTTAAAATATCAGTATTTGTAGTTATCCACGTTTGTTTTCAATTCAAACAGATAATGAAACTTGAATCTATTGCTTAAAACCCTGGAAGCAAAATTTACAATAAGATGTACATGAGAAAACAGCAAAGATCTGAGAAGAGCAAAGAATTGCAAGAGCACAAAGAAAGATTATATGCAATTTTCTTAAATTTTAGTGGTTTTGTTGCTCAAATTCGTATTCGGGAAGGCAGTTTAATTTCTGGAAGAGTCTAGAAAGCAATTTTATTGCAAACAATGCAAATCGAAAGGTTTATGAGAGGAAGGAACCAGAATCAGGAATCCACTACATTAAATTTCTTCATGAGAGCGTCCAAACCCGCACGCCTTGAAGAGTAAAGGATTTTTGGGATAAACAGAATGTTAATTTTTTTTCACATTAACATTTAACAATGTTCGCCAGATCTGTCGACTTTTGGCTTGTTTCAATTTCCAAACTTGAAAAAACACCTTTCAGAAGAAAGAAACCAAGTCCAGGAAATCATAAGATCTGCCATTTTCCAGTATACTAAGGGTCATTCCAAAAAAGAGCTCTAAAACAATCAGAAATTGGATAAAAAAATTTATGGACATGTGTTTTAATTCAAAGAGATTATTAAGTTAAATCATTACGACTGAATCATTCAAAAGCGCCTTTTGCTTCTTTCCGAGCACCGAGGAATTTATTTATTGAACAGCCCTCGTACACAAATGTAATCACGGGGAATGATTGAGTACGTAATGCGTTGAAAGTGCAAATTGTGATGTATATTGATTTCGATGAAATTTTGTAATTTCAAGGGTTTTAGAAGCTCCTTTTTGTTTTGAAGTGATTTGCGGCACTTTTCGAATATAATGTCATACATGAAAGCTTTTTCTCTACTGCGGTTCAAATCTAAGTGAGAAGTAAATAATATTTTCTGGAACCCACTTTGTATCTTTGATTGCAATCCATCCGTTCTTAAAAGTAAATACAAAAGGAGAAAAAAATGACTGAATTAATTTTTTCATTATAATTTTTATTATATATATATCGATTCATGATTCCTTTTATAAGTATTTTCATAATTGATATCACTATTATTCGTTTCACATACATATAAAATTAGCTCTAAAACCTCGTAGAGGCAGTTTCGTTGTCCATTTTGACATTGACCTCGGACGTCCTTGCTGTGTTGTTCTGAGTGTTTATTTTGACCTCTGACTCCATTGTTGGAGATTCCTTGAGGCTGTTGTCCTCAGCTGAATTCAGACTAGAGCTACATAGTCTGTCTATCACCACGGCGCCGATTATAATGGTCATCGTGTTGCTTGTAGTCCGGATACGGTCACTATTTACAACCAAAAGGTATGGTTATCGCAAATGTTGATTTTTGATTGAATTAAGAAAGAATTTAATGAATTTTAATTGAATTAATAAAAGGAAAATTGCATTTTGTTTCAGTCAAATGTAATTTAATTTAAAATGTTTAGAAAATCTGATGTTCTAATGTTTACTTACTTGTACCATTCCAGTGCCATCAGAAGACCTATGTTATGTACTTGGACATCTAGTGAAGACAGAACGACTAAGACAGAGACAATGCTGGCGCTGGGGACAGAGGGAACAGCCAGGGAGCCCACGGAAGACAACAACCTTAAAACAAAAAACGTGTTATTCCTGTACATAAAGGTACATGTAGCCGAAACCAAATTTAGTTTGATTTGTTGATTTAGATGGAAGACAAAGTCAGTTGCAAAAATCTTATATATATAGTCTAATAAGAACAATGTGACACCTGTCTGAAAATGTTTAACTCAACAACAGAATTTGATTGTCTTGTTTTCTTATAACCAAAGCTGTGAAAATTACCCAAAAAAATCAAAGTCTTTTCACAAGATTAATATATTCAGCACCAAGATAAATTATACATTTATATTTACCCAATTAAGAGTATCTTAGAGGCCCCTAAAGACATTCCTTCTAACTGTACCATAAACAAGGCAGATAAACAGATGAATATACAGCTTCCCAATCTCTCCAAAGTAGCTCCCACAGGAACAAGGAAATTAGATATTCTGGTATCGATATGAAGCTTAACATCGAGTGTTTTCAGCATTTCTGGTATACCAATTGCACTAATAATACCAGAAAAATGTTTTATACTTAAGGATTTAAATCATCACACAATGCACTTACATATAAAACAAGAGGCCCATGGGCCACATTGCTCACCTGAGAAGCTTTGACCATTCTGTTCTTTACCAGATTTCCTCCTTGTAAAACATAATGCATCCCACCCTACCCAACTGATCATAATTTAGACATTTAGAAATCTACACTACCTCAGGATCCTTCCAAGTGCACATAAGTTTCAAAGATTTTTCCTATATATTTCTATGTAAAACTTTGATCGGTCATTTTGGCCCCACCCTTCCCCGGGGGTCATGATTTGATCAATTTAGAATCTAGACTACCCCAGGATGCTTCCACATAAGGTTAAGCTTTCATGCTTTTTTAAGCAGTGGTTCATGAGAAGAAGATTTTCAAAGATTTTTCCTATATATTTCTATGTAAAACTTTGATTCCACATTGTGGCCCCACCCTACCCCCAGGGGTCATGATTTGAATAATTTAGAATCTACACTACCCCAGGATGCTTCCACAAAAGTTTAAGCTTTTCTGGCCCAGTGGTTCATGAGAAGAAGATTTTCAAAGATTTTTCCTATATATTTCTATGTAAAACTTTGATTCTCCATTGTGGCCCTGCTCTTCCCCCCAGGGGTCATGATTTGAACAATTTGGAATCTACACTACCCAAGGATGCTTCCACATAAGTTTCAGCTTTTCTGGCCCAATGGTTCTTGAGAAGAAGATTTTCAAAGATTTTTCCTATATATTTCTATATAAAACTTTGATTCCCCATTGTGGCCCCGCCCTTCCCCCGGGGGTCATGATTTGAACAATTTAGAATCTACACTACTCCAGGATGTTTCCATATAAGATTCAGCTTTTCTTACCCAGTGGTTCTTGAGAAGAAGATTTTTTAATGACCCCTCCCTATTTTTGTCTTTTCTTGATTATCTCCCCTTGTGAGGGAATATGGCCCTTTATTTTAACAATTTAAATTCCCCTTCACCCAAGGATGCTTTGTACCAATTTTGGTCAAAATTGGCCCAGTGGTTCTTGAGAAGAAGTCGAAAATGTGAAAAGTTTACAGACGGACAGACAGACGGACGGACGGATGGACGGACGACGGACAAAATGTGATCAGAAAAGCTCACTTGAGCCTTCGGCTCAGGTGAGCTAAAAAGTAAATAAATTTCTGTTCCATTCTTGAAAATATTGTACATAAACAAACGTTTAAAATCTATATCCTCATAAAAGACATTTTTAAAAAAGCAGAACAACTTATAAATTATTCAAGGTAAAATTCATATAATTCTTTTATGAATATAATATTATTTACTGAGGGACAGTTAAACATTAATATGCACCTGTGATCCGATGTAAAAATTAGACACAAGTTAAAATCTCAACTTGTAAGTATCCTCTCTTTGCACGGGAGGGTTCAAGAAACGAACACAACTGAATGCATCGACTATAAAGATACTTCTTCCCAATTAATGAATTCTTGACGAAGTCCACGAAAACTGCAGATTCTTTAGCTACATTTATACATTCAAAAATAAATGTGAGGAACGTACGTGCTTGGCGGCCCAAATACAGTTAACCAGGGTCGGAGACAGGCGCCAAGGAAGAGGAAAGGATTTTTCCTGGTAGCTATGAAATAAGTAATCGGAATGAGGACCAACTGATGAAAAATGTTTCCAACAGAATGAGCCAAAACAAACATTCCCAGACTGCTGAAGACGTTTTCTATATCGGACGCTTTCAGAATTGCTGTAGCAATAAGGCTTGCAACTCCAACAGGGGTCATCCTGAAACATCATAGAACATATATCACAGGTTGTGTCCTGCTCATTTAAACAATAAAATGCTTTCTTTGTTTGTTATTACTGGAATTAACGGAAGCAGCTGTTGCAGAAAAAATGTAATTTTTTTCTGCAATAGCTGCGACCGTTAATTCCAGTAATAACAAACAAAGAAAGACATTTTATTGTTTATATTTATATCTGTTCAAATAATCATTTAAAGAAGGATTAAAAAGTTTAATTATTGTATTAATGATGCAAGGTCTTTATACGTTTCACTGATGGAACAGCCACTGACCAAGAAATCTGTACAGACGACATGCCTGATATAGTTCATGCAGTGATTAACGCAATGGGTTTTCTTAAGAATTAAAGGAGAAAATATTCAGTGGATGTAAATATATCCTTATAATGTAAATCTTATATAAATAAATTAGGAAGCAGGTAATTAATAATTTATGAAAAGTCTTATAATCTTCATGTTCCAAAACGATTCTGAGAGATAATGTCAATTCCACAGACGTATTGGTACGAAAGCCATGAAGGGACACGGCGATTTTTCAAAAAAGTAAATATTAATTTGAGATCTCGAATTACACAATCCGTTCCCACGGATTATCAATTCGTTCTCTCGGTTTATAATTCGAGATCTCGAATTACACAATCCGATCCCACGGATTACTAATTCGTTCCCTCGATTTACGATTCGAGATCTCGAATTACACAATCCGATCCCACGGATTACTAATTCGTTCCCTCGATTTATAATTCGAGATCTCAAATTACACAATCCGATCCCACGGATTAATAATAATTCGAGATCTCGATTTGTAACATCAGTCTTATGATTTTGGCAATCAAAGCTCGCGAATTTTATTACATGTACTCTATATATGTATACATGTAATGTTGGATACCTTCAAATCCAACGATTTGAATCAATTAATGCGATTCATGTAATTTGTTTTAGCAACCGAGGTCGTTCCGAACCTCTTTTATAACTAATTCAACATATATTTATTCAGATAAAAAATAATTACACAGGAGCCATATTTACTTTTACTATATAGGACTTTCAATTATTCTAATATACACGTAAAACAAAACCCAGGACTTTTTTGTATAAATATCAGTTCTAGAATATGGATTTGAGTCATGTTCATGTAATTTTCTCATTTTGGACCGTGATATGTAATAAAAGGTAGGATGTAAACAACTACAATATTTTATTCATTAAACACGTATTGCCATATCCGATACTAGTATGTACAGATAGCTGAATTAATGAAATCATGAGAAGGGTTAACATTCCGAGGGAACGAATTGTTTAAACTGAGAGAATGAATTACAATCCGAGATAACGGATTGTGTTATTTGAAGGAACGAATTGATAATTTGTGAGAACGAATTAATAATCCATGGGTACGGATTGTGTATTTCGAGATCTCGAATTATAAATCGAGGGAACGGATTGTGTAATTCGAGATCTCAAATTAATATTAACTTTTTTGAAAAATCGCCGTGTCCCTTCATGGCTTTCGTATATTGGTGAGTCAGCGTAAAAGTAATTGCAAAATTTTTGTCTTCACACATTAAACGTAACAGATATTTTTTTTTTAAATTGATTTATGTACAGGAGCTGTTTAAAACTTGAGTATCAATGGAAATAAATTTAACTCACCAAATAATCCAATTTAAGAGATGGATGACAATGATGGAAATGGTTTCAAAAAATTCTGTGAATGGATCCGCACGTTTTCCTAGCTTACTGGCTGTGATGCCAAAAAGAGTACAGGCGATGATAAGGCCTAAAATATAAAGGAATGAAAACAAAATAAAATCATTGTGTAGGACAAAACATACGAAAGCCGGATAGGCTCATTTCTGAAAAGATAAAAAAAAAATTAACTCGTTATAACAAGTTAATTATGTCGTTATAACGACTTAGTTATCTCGTTATAACGACTTAGTATCTCGTTATAACGAGCTAATTATCTCGTTATAACGAGTTAATTATGTTGTTATAACGACTTAGTTTTATCTCGTTATTACGAATTACTTATCTCGTTATAACGAGTTAGTATCTCGTTATAACGAGTTAGTTTTCTCGTTATAACGACTTAGTTATCTCGTTATAACGAGTTAGTTTTCTCGTTATAACGACTTTATTATCTCGTTATAAGGAATTAGTTATCTCGTTATAACGAGTTAGTTATCTCGTTATAACGAGTTAATTATCTCGTTATAACGAATTAGTTATCTCGTTATAACGAGTTTATTATCTCGTTATAACGAGTTAATTATCTCGTTATAACGAGTTAATTATCTCGTTATTACGATTTAGTTATCTCGTTATAACGAATAAGTTATTTCGTTATATCGAAATAATAAGTTGCCCCTTTATTTCCAAATTAATAGCAATATAGGAATAAAAAATTGCTGTAGGTTTAATGCCACTGAAGTTTATTTGATAATTATCAGTCAAAACTTACTTTCAAATTGATAAAGAGATGCAAATATAATTTGCAATATGATTAAAAATTATTAATATTAATCTTCTATCTTGCTGTCAATAATCACAATTTTATAAAAAATATCAATATTTTAATCGAACACATTTACACATTTATACGTGGACGTCTCTAAGGACATAATATAAAAAAAAAAACAAATTGCGAAATGTACTTGCTTCGAAGTTGGCAATTTATGTATGACAACTTTTCCGATAAAAGACACTAATTTTTATGCGCCCGGATCGATAGATCCGAGGCGTATATTGTTTTTGTCCTGTCTGTCTCTCTGTTTGTTTGTTTGTTTGTTTGTTTGTTTGTTTGTTTGTTTGTCTCCAAACTTTAACCTTCGCCATAACTTTTGAACCATGAAAGGTAGAAACTTCATATTTGGTATGCATACTTCACTAATTAGGTGCTTTCAAATGACACCAATATTAATGACCTTGTGACCTTGAATGTGACCTATATGCTAAAAATAGCTTTTCTGTATGCAAACTTTAACCTTCGTCATAACTTTTGAACCATGAAAGGTAGAGACTTCATATTTAGTATGCATACTACACTAATAAAGGTCTTTCAAATGACACCAATGTCAATGACCTGGTGACCTTGACTGTGACCTATATGCTAAAAATAGCTTTTTCGTACCTTCACCATAACTTTTGAACCATAAAAGACAGAGACTTTATATTTGATGTGCATACTCCACTAATTAAGTTCTTTCAAATGACACCAAGGTCAATGACCTTGTGACCTTGACTGTTACCTATGCTAAAAATAGCTTTTTCGATTTCTGTTGCCACCGGGCGCATAGTTATTCACAAACACATCTTGTTTTATATGTTTTGGATGACTTATTAGCTTCCATAATCAATGTCTAATTTCCTAAATTAATACATTATAATAGCAAGCTAACGCAGGCGTTAATGCAACATACACTTACAGTGTGATATATATATTATTTTATGAGTCAGAAATGTTTTGAAGAAGGGGGTATGGAGAGATCAGCAATTAGATCATGGGCCCGCGTAAAATTCGGGGGCTACTATCCACTCATAACACAACATCACGAGGCAGCCGAAAGTGTCCGTATAAATGTTCACGTAATTATCTTCGGTCTTTTATGTGAAACAATACAAATCAACTGCATCATTTATAAATAAACAAACTACAATCACAGACACAACCCCTTGAAAAAAAACTAGTTTGCTGTTTTTCAATGAAATATTTATCATACACACTTTAAACAAACTTGATCGACTCGGTTTTGTATGCCATACTTCCTATCAATTAGATATATCAACTTTAGAACAGTTTTTAACTCCTTAGGTGGCAGAGGATAGTTTTTTTTGCAATCAAAACGTTTGACTGACAGTTTACTTAATATTGAGCTGCTTTAAAAATGTGCATTGAAAAATTTAAATTCCCTCTACATGTAATAATAGTATGATGTAGTCCCTTGAGAAATTTTAAGGTTTTAGGAATAAAACATGTATAACTTACACAATGAGCACTAAAGATGGCGCAGGGACAATCTCAAAATTTCATGTGAATCAAGCCTATTTTCACTATTTAGCCGCAGCCGCATCTGCTTCCAGGCCCGTGCGCCTGACCTAAGCTACCACACAAATTGCAGAATAACATTTGTACATACCAATGAACAGCAAGAGATAATGGCTCAACCACCTCGTTTTCAAGCTACAATTCATCCTGTGAACCCACCCCGCTTTTCTGGTGAAATACCGGTAGAGCGAGTTTTGAGCTTAGTTTCGTATTTCTAGTCCGTATCCCATATACAGTAGTAGTGACACTAAAGTGTCATATTTCAATAAAATACACAAGGCCACCAATTCCCTCCAAATGCACCCATAAAATATTCTAGCTATAAAATTACCTATAATATGCATTCAAACCTCAGGTTTCTCTATTTTTTCTATTTTTTGACCGGTACTTTATTCGAAACTATCCTCTGCCACCTTATAACGAGAAAATTATCTCGTTAGAACGAGTTAATTTTCTCGTTATAACGAGATAACTAATTCGTTATAACGAGAAAATTAATTCGTTATTACGAGATAACTAACTCGTTATAACGAGATAATTAACTCGTTATAACGAATTAGTTATCTCGTTATAACGAGAAAATTAACTCGTTATAACGAGATAATTTTCTCGTTATAACGAGATAGCTAATTCGTTATAACGAGATAGCTTATTCGTTATAACGAGATACTAACTCGTTATAACGAGATAATTAACTCGTTATAACGAATTAGTTATCTCGTTATAACGAGAAAATTAACTCGTTATAACGAGATAATTTTCTCGTTATAACGAGATAGCTAATTCGTTATAACGAGATAGCTTATTCGTTATAACGAGATACTAACTCGTTATAACGAGATAATTAACTCGTTATAACGAGTTAAAATTTTTTTTATCTTCTCAGAAATGAGCCTATCCGGCTTTCGTAAAAACAAACCTTGCTTTGCTGTAATTTTATTTTGTTTATATCGTGATCTTGTCTGTTTTTTCGTCAGGTTTCTGTACAACTGTCTCCAGTTATTTGTGTCTTGTGCATTGAGACAATACATATATTGATAATGTTAATCTCTTTATACGTACCTAGTATATTTAGACCTCCTGTGGAGGAAACAGATTTATGAACAACTGTAACCGAACTATTGGTCCCGTTCATCATTAAAACTCGTGTAGATTGGGAATATTTTGTCTGAGCCTGCAACAAGAATCCAGGATAAAATTAGGTAAGATTTTTTTATCAATAAGAAAAATCAGTTTCTTATTCTTCACTCTTTATCAATGGATTTCTCTGTATATCCGATCACGACACGGACATATAGGGAATGCTTACATACTCATGGCATCTGATCTCAACTTGTTTTTTTTCCCAGAAGTTCGAATTTGTTCTGCTCAAATTTTGTATTGTTTGACTAAAATCTAGAACATATTTCTGTTCGTTATCTATAAATTTCATCAAAATCTAATTAATTGATATTTTTTTAACAAAAAATGTTTTGCTCTAAAAAAGATTCAAAGAATCTGTGCCGCTGTAAGAAAGATTCTTACCTTCTGGAAACAAGCAGTAACCAAATTATCAGGAAATAGATTTCTGGAAAAAAATATTAAACTATTTATTTCAGCTTAGAATTTTGTCCAACATCTTGATAGCAAACTTATAAACACTACATTGGAAATTCAGCATTTTTATAGACTAAAAAGTAAATGAATATAATAAATAAATACAGTATAAAATATATTTTTAAATAGATATTTCAGAGAGTGTTTAGTGTTTTATTTAGTTTGTCATATAATGAAGTAAATAGAGGAAGATATTTCTGCTCTTGAGTGTCACTTATACCTGATCATGTCGGCAAACATATCACTAGTCTCAATGTCTGTCTGTATAGAATCGCTATAATCTGATCCCGAAATCTCCAGATCTTTACCTTGATGAAAGAAAAATGACTTTGAAATATACTAGTAATATATATATAATTTACAAATGAGACTTTTAAAAACTAGCACTGAATTATTTGATTACATAAGAAATGAATATCAAAGAGTAAAGTTTCATTAAGTGATTCTTTACCCGGCTGAATGATAAGGAATAACAGGATAGCAATGACAGCTCCTATTGTGTTGGTGATTATTATGTAACCAAAGGAAAGAGCACTAATCCTGCCGTTAGATTTCGGGTCCATTCGAGCTGTGCCTGTGAAAAAAAAGAAATAATATCATGTTTGAAGTCATTTACATAATTTTGGTGGGGAAAAGTACATAGTCTTTTAAATTTTTATTTGTTCTTGATTGATCATGACAGTATTCAAACTAAAGTAAAGAAAAGTCAAATTATTTTTTAGTTGCATGAAATCTAACTTTTTTGGTTATCATACAGTGTGTATGTGACTTACCTGTAATGATAGTAGACACAACTAAAGGAAGAATTGTCATTTTCAGCATCCTCATGTATATTTCTCCTGGTAAACCTGTTAAGAGATTAAAATTATCACCAGTCACTTTTAGTCTTGAGTGCTGTTCGTTGTCTATATATGTTTCATACATAAGTTTATTAATCGAGCAGAAATTGTTATATATAAGCATAATTACATTATGAAATATATTAAAAAATAAAGTTTTTGATCTATAAATAATGGTAGAATGTAAAAAGAATTTATTTTTAATATTTTAAAATCATACCTATCCATGTGAGTGCATCATCTGAAGGTTCCACGACTCTAAGACCAAATCCTAAGGTGAACCCCACCCCCACACCAACCAAAACGCTTATAATGAGTCCATTTCTTGATAAAAATTCATAGCAACTGGAATGTTTTGCATTCATCTTTTATGCTTCTCTACTACGTACACCTGGTCATCATAGCATACTCTTTGTGCAGCAGATCATTATGACCTCCTTTCACCCATATTGCCAATGGTACAATTAACCAATTTCTGCTCTGACAACGGAAAAATGTAAACACACAAAATATGTTTCATAGGAGGTATCATAGTGATTCCAAGCTATCTACATGTTAACAGTGTTTGCATGACTTTATATTGAGTTCTTCGTCGATTAGATAGATAATATTGAACATTTTCGGAATCTCAGACACCTGACATCGCACAACGGTCAGCGGACCTGCGAACTAAAGAAAACTTACGGGTATTTACATATAAATACGTTTTAATGTTTACCTGAGAATTTTCTCTCATTATCTCAGATATCTGTTTAAACAATAAAATAGGCCAGAATTGTAGGGATTGACAGAGATGAAAAAAATAAAATGATTCTATATTGGCATTTAACATGTTTAATAAAAGATTGCTAGAATAATTGATCATCATTAAATATGAACATCATTATCTCATAAGTCATATGCAATGGCAGATTCAGGGAAACCATGGCTATGGGGAATGCAGACCTCCCTCAAATTTGATTTTGGAAGAAATAAAGAAAATACATTGTAAATAAGGATCGAAAAAAGAAGAGATGAAAAGAAATAGTTGCGGGAATTTTGAAATGTAACATTAATTAATCAATATAAAAAAACCATGTGCACTTTAAAGTCGTATGTTTATTCTCAGAGAGTTGCTTCATCTTATGCATAAAACGACCTCGTTCACTTGTATTATGCTGCTTGCCATGATGCATATTTAATATAGAACGAGCAAAGAAAGAGGTTTCACTAGATCAAGATAAAAAATATATATATAAAAAATATAAAAGTTTATTTCGATATGTGAAATGGTTAAAATCATTTTATAATTGTAAAAAAAATATTTTTTAATCTGAGAAAAATGATTTCCATGTGAATTTGTTATTTAAGATTGGGTTTTACATAAAATAATGGACTAATTGTATAATATGTAAGACAACTACATCATTACTCTAGATTTGCGAAAGTTAAATGCATTATATTACATTTGCATGTGATATGGATTTTTTGCCATTACACATAACTACATGAACAATGTTATATAAAATATAAATCAAAGCAGTGAATTACTATTACAATTAGCCATTCGTATGTCAAGTCTTAAACTTTTCAGTATTTCTTCAAATACAATACAGAAATCTCAGCAGCTAACAAAATTGGTATGCACTGTGTATCAGTGGTTTTACCCTCCAGATATTCACAGTGTTATTCCTATGGGTAATTACCATATTCATACTGATTGCTTTCTTACACTATACAAATAATTAACTAGAATGCTGACAAGGAGAATCTCTAACATTACTCATAAATTGACGCGCAAATTCTATTTAATATTTATATAGCATTGATGCCATCTGCAATTCATTCATCACAAGAAATAAGAAAAATATAAGCAGATCATTTTTCAAATCTTTCATATAGGGGCCTAAATTAAAATCGACAGTAAAAGCATATTGAAAAATATAAATTAATAAGAAATGCACATTGGCTTTAATTCGATAATATATACGAATTGATACGAAAACCAGTGGGATTGTTTACATTGTTAACTACTTATAAAAGTAAGCAAATAATTTTCGTTATATAGCATGCTATCAAATCTTTGAGGTATTCAATCCATTATCAACAATAACTTTGATCTCTGATTCTTTGGTGGGATCTTCTTCAAGACTATGGATTGATCATGTTGATGCCGACCTCAGACTAGACCGACAGAGTCTGTCAATAACAACTGCCCCGACAATGATAATCAACGTGTTGCTAGTGGATCGGATACGGTCACTGGAATGCAATATATAATATTATTTATGTTATATGACTGTTAATTTTAACAATGCAACATTTTATTTCTGTTTATTGGTAATGAAATATATCAGAACAATAAAGCATAATTATTAAAAACTCTGAAAAAAATTCTTGTAGTCCATATTTGTATAGTTAGACTTCGATAGTATTAAGAATAGGATAGTTTCAGATGACAGATTTATTAAAATGAGGAACTTTTTGCTTACTTGAACCACTCCAATGCCATAAGAAGACCTATATTGTGTACTTTAACATGTTTAATGTCTACGGAAGATAGGACGATCAGAAGCGAAACTATACTGGCACTGGGGACAGCTGGTATTGCCAGAGATCCAACAGTGGACAGCAAACTGAAAAAAAATTATGGTTAAATCTATTACTGATGAATATTCTGAATGCATCAAGGTAAGCGTTTTATCGACTCAATCGAAATTGAAATATCTTTTATATAAACATTACCCAATGAAGAGTATGTTAGATGCACTGACTAGGATTCCTTCTAACTGTACCATAAACAGGGCAGATAAACAGATGAATAAACAGCTACCCAATCTCTCCAAAGCAGCTCCCACAGGAACAAGGAAATTAGATATTCTGGTGTCAACATGTAGCTTAACATCCAGTGTTCGTAGCATTTCAGGCATTCCCATGACCCTTTAAAGTAAATTACTCAAGATTAATTATAAAAGGCCTGATAAAAAGTATAATTTGCGTATGTATTACTTAAGATGAAATCTTATTGTCATTAAATGCATGTGCATCATTATTCAATAAATGTTAGAATTCAATACAAGTTGTTTTTCATGCGAATTTAATAATTATGATCAGTTTTAATTGTTATTTACGTCTTTACAACATACGTTTCAAAATAGGCAACTATTTATAATAGGGTCGCTCAACAAGGAATGCTTATTCTTCTTGGTCACTCGATCCCTCTCCTTTTATTTTTAGGGGTTCGTGTTTTATGCCCATTTTACAGATTTGTATAGGTTAAAATCTTTTTGAGATCCTTCACTGCTCTATATCTTTACATTTCTAAGTCTATTTTACAAGTCTATCAGTACTTTATTGATAAAGTCTGACCTACTAGATGATAAAAATCTAGAATAAATTATTCAGGAAACACCGATTTGAACATGTTGAATGTATTTCGAATCTGAAGTTTCAAAAAAGAAATCTTGAAAAACTTATATTGTAAAACGGAAGATGGTCACGGATTCAATTTAAAAAAAATTAAAACTAGAGGTACCGTGAGCAATGAGCTCACTAATTGATACGATCGATCCGTCTCCCGTATGAATATAATGAGAGTGTCCATATTTTGTTGTGGGAAACCCAAAATATGTGTCAGATTAAAAAGTAAAATAGGAGATGCACAATGGCAATATATAATTAAGATTCTGTGAAAGTTTCATCAAATTTCATTCATGTAGTGGTGTACGTTTTACTATGCCTTAAAATATTTCACCCCCCCCCCTTAAAAAAAAGTAGAAAAGCTAGGAATTTTTTTAGTTGTTTGCATCCGACAATTAATGCAAAAACAACAACAATGAAATCATAGGGAAAACAAATGACTAGTTGATATCAGAGGACGTAAAAACTATATGTGATGAACTGCTAACAGCCGAAGAATCAATTTTAGATTCAAGAATTGTACTCATTGAGCTACCACGCCCCCTCCCCATAATTTGCCGCTATTTAGATAGAAAATATATCTCTAGATATATGATTGTACCCCCTAAAAAAAAAAAAAAACCGTCCGATGACCTTTTTTATGCTTGATTAATTAATTTTCAAGGAATTTTGGTGGTTGATAGTGCATGCCTCCTCAACTTAAAGTGTATGGCTCTGCACTCCTCCCCCACCAACTGAAATTGCTTCCTACGAGCCTGGCTTCAGAGATACCTAAAGCTGAAAGGAACAATTATATTTTCAAAATGTCGAGACCCAACACCTAAATTTCCTCCAATGAGCAGAGACAACTTTACATATAATGATGTTGGGATTCATTTGCTGGATTTCTCCATTCCAACATCCACAGACCACAGTAGACTAAATACTAGTATTCTGTTAAATACTGGAGGGTGTCCTTTCACTTTATATGGGTCTACTTCTACTGTCCATCGTTTCTATAGAAATGAATAAGACAGCTCATTCTCCTCTGCTTCTTTCATAGTGCTCTTTCTTCCTTTTACGTGAAGACAGTGGTGGCATATATTCCATGCAGGCAAAAGGCTGCAGTCTGCATATCATTTTCTCAATGTATAGTTTAAATCAAATGTTTACAAGTTTACTAGTATATGTTGAAAAAGAGGGGTGGGGGTATCATAAAACTCTGTTTATAATTTATTTAGCTTGATGTTGAATTGAAAAAGTATTGTTAGCAATATGCATTTTATATTATACGAGCTTGATCTTGATCATGACAAAAAATAAAAATTGATCATTTTAAATAATTTTTTAGGGAATAGGAAAACTGCAAACGGGGTATTGTTGGAAATAATGATTTAGTAGGGAAGTTTAAATTGCAAAGGGATAAATAAATAAAATTTCTAAATCTTAATTTTGTTTGATAATCATGACGATTTTTATTTCGCTATCGTCGATGTCTTCACATTAGCTTACATGCAAATATACCACTGGGAGACATTCTCGAATCCACATGCTCTGCACTTCTTACTGATTTTGTTTATATGTATTTTAACCACCTTTATTGTAAGTTTTTAGTAGACATCTTCTGTTGATTTTTTTATTATTGTAACTGGTGTGCAAAAAACCGCATAGGCCTACGAAAAATTATAATTTGGACAGGATCCCTGCATATCATATTTCTTGAAACAGTGATTCGTTATTGGAAACCTAAATACCCCCAACTTTTAAGCGAATACTATTAATTTCTGATTTAGAAATTGTATGACGCTTTCAGTGCTTTTAGACACATAATTTTATTAAAAATCTGCACCAAATTTGTTTACCTAAAATGTACGATTCACATTGGAGCGGTACCGAAAAGTGAAAGTAGTCTGCTTGCATGTACGCTTCTGGTCAGCGTCACAAAAAAGCTTCTTCATGTTTATTTAAAAATTAGGACATTAAACGAGTTGAATTTATCATTTGGTTATAAGAATATCCTCTTTTCATCTCTTAATAATTAATGATTAGGTCGTGGTAGCTTCTAGGTAA